GAGAGAGAGAGAGAGAAGAAGAAGAAGAAGAAAAAGAGGAAGAAGAAGAAAAAGAAGAAGAAGAAGAAAAAGAAGAAGAAGAAGAAGAAACCATAAAGGCAATATAATAGGCCTGTAATAGTTGATAGAAGTAGCAACTGTAGTAATCACAGTGTGATTTATGATTATAGACATGGGCAGAGATCAACACACAGTTCTGGGAAAGCAATGTTTCAAATTTTTGACTGAGCCTACTTAAGTTCTTCAAGCGGTGTACCTCTGCATCTAAAATATCAGAGAGCATTTTTTTTATTTTCTTAACAAATTTTCAAGTGTCAACATGTTGGAAAATAATCTAAATCCCACGTCTGTAGTCGAGGGTGAGCTGGCGTAGTACAGCATTTTCTTTGCGTCATCATACTTTCCATTTGGTCCAAATGGCGCGCCAACACCATTTGAAAATTGGAAATGCGTTATAATAAGTATTCTAGGATTTTATAGTCCATGTCAATTCCCAGAGTTTACTCTATAATGCTATTCCATAGACTCAAACTACATCCTATCAAATGGCCGGCACTCTTTGCTCTCTATTAAAAACCACGCTTCATTAGTACTTAATATGGACTAAAAATCCCTATAGTTGAGTCTGGGTACAGCCCATCTCTCCTTGCCTTTCACAAAAAAAGTCAAATACATTAATTGTAATGTGCTCCATGGAACCGGAAGTACGCCAGAGTGCACAATCTTGGAGTATTTTAATACAAGTCTATGGACCATTCTCGGAACAAAATGAAAGCGAAATGAAGGCAAGGTGAAGGTTGATTGTCCTCAAAGCCAAGGTCGAGAAGGGGAGTAATGCAAATTTATTTTCATTCATCTATCTTTCTCCAACCTCGTCGCGTCTTTAGCCAACACTGCTGATGAGTTCGTTGACTCCTGCGGCATCAAAACAAAATACAACAGAAAAGACTTCCAAAGTTTCAGTGTAGTTGCATTGGTCATCTGCACTCTACTTTTCCCTGTGTGCGACTTTCGTTTCTTGGAAGGTTTGTCCAATTCCAAGGTCTACAATAGATCTTCTAGATCTAGACCTAGCCTAGATATCTTCTAGATCTCTAGATCTAATCTAGATTCTAGATCTAGATCTAGATCTAGATTTCTAGTCTTAGATCTGGTGGGTGTGTATTCTTTTACTTTCCTTCCCGTTCGCCGGTTGCCTTTATAATCTATCACAAATTAGAATCTCTAGATTTCTAGTCTAGATTCTAGATCTCTAGAGTCGACATCGGAATTAAGATAAGATAAGATAAGATATATCTTTATTGTCCAGATCCTGGCACATTCAACATTGGTTTGGTGTTCCACCACGAGTACACACACACACGCACACACACACACACACGTCGTGCACGCACTTGCACACACAAGTAGGCTTACAATCACATACATAATATAAATGAGCAGCAATATAAACAATAATAATCGTAAGCTAGATACACACTCAATGTTATTTTGATGCATGCTCAAAGGTCGTAAGTACACTAAACAGTAAACAAGATAGATGGTTAAGATGGAGGCGCTTTTTCTGTAGTTCCCACCCCGCAATTGTTATTCGCCGGTTTTGGCCCCAAGAGTAGGGGGGTTTCAGGGGGGCTTGC